TGGTGTCGAATAAATCTGTGTCCAATAATTTTGTGTCCAATAATTTGGTGTCGAATCGATCGGTGTCGAATCGTACTGTGATCAAACGGAACACGCCCTGAATAAAGCATCTTTAACAATCTCCGAGAGAAGAGTATTAAACTATACATTGTATCGTGATCCGGAACAAGAGTTTCCGCCTTTTCTAGTCAATTATTTTGTTGCTTATGTTATGCACAATAATACTCTTCAATATCATATTGAAATATCATCAATCTATGAAGTAGGTTATTTATATCATATAAGAGTGCATATAAGTATAGAAGAAAATATACATATATATTATGCAAATATTTTTTTGGTCTAGAATCAAATTACGCTTGAGATGTGTTTACCAGCGTCGTGTAATATAACTGATATTTCTTTCATTCTAGAAAAAATATTTTGCGATAGAGTTCTTCAAATTGGTAATCTCTCTTCCACGGATTTGAAATTGATCGAAGTTATAAAGATTTTCAAAATGATCAATGGCCATCTACTAATGCAATATTTATTATATGGTACTTTGAAGAATATATCAAAACAACAGATAACAATATATTATATATCAAAATTCAAATATATTTAAATATTTGTAAAAACACAAACGTATGCATATAAATTTTGTTTTTAGTGTTTTGGTGCTTATTTTTTCTGTAATGATAATTGGAACAATATATGATATATTTGTGCATCAATACTATTTTATTAGGCAGAATAAAAATATCTTTAGTATGTTATAAACCAAAACTTTTTATATAAGCTTTTTTAACTCATAACTTACCGATTTAGTTAAGTTTTATGATGATATATGCAGATTTCAATTTTCTCTTTCTATACAGGGTGTCTCATAATTGCCGTATAATCTCTCTCATGGATATATACAGAGTATCCGACAATTACTTTAACATCTCTCGTAGGCAAGTAGAAGGAGTAAAACTGAGTCAAAATGTCTTATACCATTTTTCTAGATTTGCAATAGTTACCGAGATCTTAATTAATTACAAAGATTTTACAAAAAAGCAAGCATCGGTCTTACGCGCATAAGCGCGCTTCGCGCGGTTATTTTTTATTATGTGTATGTTATAGTATATGTTGTTTTATTAGCTTCTCTCCCTCTCATACGTTGCTACGAGTAAAACCGTGAGCGCGCGACACGCCCCGAGCTGTCTTACACATAAGACAGCCCAATGCATGCTTACTCGTGAATCTTTGTTAATTAAGATCTCGATAACTATTGCGAATCTAGCAAAATAGTATAAAACTTTTTGACTCAGTTTTACTTTCTTTTACCTGTCTACAAGAGACGTTAAAGTAATTATCGGGCACTCTGTATATGTCACAATAAACATATTGTATAAGTAGTAACTATTTTGAATTATACGTAGGTATGCAAAATGTACGGAAAAAAAATGAAGAAATGGCACCTTCTACTTTACATCCGGAAAGCACAATTAACAAAATTATTATGTATTTTTCTGTTATCAAAAATACGAAAGTGATATTTAACACAAAAGTGGACTCGAACACAATACCGATTATACATAGGTTAAAAGTGTGGTCGATGAATTGGATAATCATGTTGCATAACATTGTGTTTGTACGCGACTATATCGGTAAGTCAAAAGAAACATTTGTGAAATATTATATCCTTTTATTTTTCAAACTTAACAGAAAAATCATGTTGTGTATACAGATAATAAACCACGGATATTGAGACTTTCTGATGGATTTTTTCAACAAATAATAACCAATGCGATCCTAGCTGTCGATACTTTTTGTGGCGGTNTATGAATATGAACGCCGCAATAGGAAGTGGATAGAGATGATAGGTTGCCTTCCAAGAAATACACTAGGGCGTATCTTCACTGAGTATATTTCAAGTCCTATTTACAATGCTTGCGCTACGAGGCGCGTGTACAATTTGCTTTTATGTTTTCTTTTAGATCGGCCCTGAAAAGGGTCGTTTGGTTGTAGGAACGCTGGGGCTAGTTTTCGGCCCCTGGTTCTTCCTGCTACAGCAAGTGAGGCTTGCACCGCGTAATGCGGACTCGCCCAAAGCTTCGCTGTGGCACTGAACACGCCCTCTTGCGTGCCGTGGCCTGCGAAGTCGCCTCCGAGGTTTCCTCTCTTGGTCCGTTGGTCTGCGTAGATTGCTCTTTAGTTTCCGGCTCCTCCCAGTCGGAGTCTACTTGGCTGCTTTGCTCTCTGGTGATCACCGTAGCTTGAGTGGCTCGATGCCTGGTAAACGGCTGGATTGGTCCCCCGGGTGGTCCGATCTGCAGGCTGAGTCTGGGTAGCTCGCTCCGTAGTTGACCTCAGCGGTGAGAGCAGCCTAGGTAGGTGGAGCCAGTCCTCTCGTGGCCAAGTAAAGCGCCAGATCCTGGGATCCTCGGGCTTCAGGAAGATCCTGGGAGGCCTCGTGAGATGGCAGTGTGGCAGCTCCGCAGGAACCAGCCGCCACGGCAGCAATTGCTACTGGATCCTCTTCTCCTTGGTGGCGCTGACCTCTTCTTGCCGGATAGCTTTCCCTGGTGATCGGGGGGGGAGAGGGGCGATGGCCGTCGTCCACGAGGATGGCGTAATATACCTCGCTGTATGATAGAGTAGCTTGTCGGAACCCTGGGTGCAGAATTAGCTGGCTGCGCTCCCAGAATATGTCTTGCTACTCGAGTGAGGCGTATCGGTCGTTGCCCGCTGGGCCTCTTATTAAGGCCCTGGCGCACAACTTTCTCGCGCGAGACCGGTCGCTGCTTTGCGCCGCACGGCGGCGGAGCGCGGTACGAGAGCTTGCCGCGCGAGACTGTCTCCGAGAAACTTGCCGTGCTGTGGCTTTCTTATCGGCATGTGCTGTTGCCTATATGTAGGCGCTGTGGTGGCTAATCTTTTCGTCACCATACTTTTTATTTCTTAAGTGGATTTTTACTGGCCTATTGGTATCTAAAGAGACATGCAAATAA